GTAGACATTAATTATTGTTTTTTCATAATTATTAAAATATCTATTATGACAAGTGATCCATCAAGCATCGATGAGGTGGTTAATCAGAGGGAGGATCTTGGCCTTGGTTAAGGGTTTTGCCAAACAATGGTTAAGCCCAGCTTCCATGAAAGCCCTACGCTCCTCTTCCTGGTCAGCCAGTGACGTAACCCCAACAATCATTGACTTCACTTTCATTTCTCTTAGCTTCTTAGTGGTCTAATTAAAACCAACAAATGAACATGAAAACTATATTAATTAGTAAATGATCGAAGCAGTTTAATTGTTTGTTTCGTAAGCAAATTATTTAGATTAACTATTACCGAAACTCCATCCCTCTCGGGCATTTCCTTATCCATTAGGATAAGGTCGAAAGATGCACCACCGTCGCGGTGGAGAATTACTGCCTCCTCACCGTTCTTCGCCGTCTGAGAAATCCCTCCGATCATTTTGATGATCCTCTCGTGGAGTTTAAGGTTTAATGGATCATCATCAACTATCAACACATTTAGTTTCTTCTTGGTTTCTATTGACTCGGTTTTCTCCATATTTCCCTTGGATTTTGTTGCCATCTTCGGTTGTTTTCGAAAAACCTTCAAAAGAAAAGAAGCAAATTAAAAATTAGAAATTGGCATATGGAAATTAACATACAAGTGTGCGCATGCAAGTTTATGTTTTTGCGTTGTGATTATTTTTCTGCATGCATGGTTTCGTGTTTGTATTTATTAGTTGTCTATATATGCATACGTATTGTATATGTACAACGAAAAAGATTAGAGAGTGGCTCACGATTTTGGATTCTAAAGAAGATTGTGAATTGTGTTCTGAGAACGTAGACATTGATCGAAATTTATAGTTGAAAAAAGTGAAAAGGAAGCATATTTTACACGTCACAAAGAAAATCATCTCTTTACATGAATATTTGGCTGAAATGTAATCTACATTGTTCGTATGAGTTATTTTAACAAACAAATATGAGAACAATTAAATCAAAATGGTGAACAAACTTAAAGAATGTACATAAGTAAGAAAATATCTTTAATTAATTCATCTAGATCATAATTAGATTCTATGCTCTTTATATTAATTCGTTCATATTGTTTACTAGATATTGTCCACGCGTAGCGTGGATTTAAAAATCAACATGATAAAAATAGCTAATAATTTTAGCTTATTGATTATTTATGTATTTAATATTACAAAAAATTATTGTTGTAGTAAATAATTATCTAGGTTAGAAGATTAAACATTTGGAGCAAATTGCTAAACACATATGCAATATTATATGTGAAAAAAATAGACTTATCATTAATAAAAATTACAGCGTATACTTTAATAAAAAGAATCGCTAGATTAATCAAAACAATAGTGTGAGAAGTCAATAATACTTTAACCA